GGCCCAGGGATGCGGCCGTCACACGGGGGGGGGGGACGGGGCAGCGCTGGGCACAGGTGCTGGGGCCGACCTGCCGGTGGCATTTCTGCAATTGAAAGGCTGGGATGTGGCGAAGATCTGGTGGCAAAAAGGCTTTTTGGAGCAATTTGGGTTATTTCTGCCGTGTCCGGTCGGGTGGTTTCTGTTTCGGGGACGTGAGTTGGCTTCCTCCTCTCCCGGCTGCACTGCACCGCAAACCCAGCCACGCCACGGAGACGCTCGGCTTCGGTCTCCTGGGGTTAAAAGGAAGTGAATCCACGAGCCTTGGCAACAAGCTTGGCTTTCTTTTCCTTTTTTTCCCCCAAACCTGCAAGGGAGGAGCAGCTCCTCTGGGAGTCCCAGGCTCGGGCGGTTCCTGGAGCGAAGGACCCCTGCGCCAGCCCCCCTCTGCCCCCTCCTGGCCCCCGCAGCGCTCGGCTCCGGCGGGAAGCTGCTTTTAAAGCCCCTTCCTCTCGTGTGGACTCTGTTGTTTCCGTCTCTTATCGTTAAATGGTTATTTTGTAATGATATCTGTCTCCTTATTAAAGAAACGAGCTGAAAGGAGCCCCGGTTCCCTTCTGGTCTTGCTGCTGGGGCTCAGTGGTGCACCTGCGGTGGGGCGCAGGTCCCCAGGGCTGTGAGCCCAGGGACGATGGAGGGATGGAAACACGAGGGGAACCCCGCGAGGGCCCAGGTCCCCCCGAAACACGAGTGTGCTCACACGCATGGTGGGGATGTCTCCAGGCAGCCTTGAGCCCTGGTGCCCTGGCTGATCGTGGCTGGCCCAGATGTGGGGTGCAGATGGGAAGATATCAGAGGTCCCCACCAAATTCTTCATCCCCAAGACATACAGTTTGGTCCATATATTGTTTAGGTCCTGCCCTGCTTTGCAGAGGTGCTGGATGCCCCTGACCCCAGGGGGACGGGCTCAAGCTGCAGTAACCACCTCCGAAGACGGAAATGTGCAGAGATTTCTAGCAACCTCACTTGGGACAAAGGCTCCAAGACGTGGCACCAGCGCCCACGTCTTTGCTATGGGTTTGTCCTGACCAAGCCAGTACAGGGCTCGGCATCATGGGGGGAGACGGGCCTGAACCCCGTGGTGGTTCAGAGACATCAGATGGGACCCTCTCCCATTCGTCTTCCCGGCTGGTGGGTGGCTTTCAGGGACGTGCATCCACAGTGCCTTCGTTTGAGCTTTCCCTGAACAGGCACGCAGGGGAGCGTTGCCCTTCCCGTGTCGTCACTGCAGCAGGTACGTAGCTGCAGAGCATTTGTGCTTTTATAGACGATTGACACTGTCGTGCTACGGAAATTCTGGGAGAAACAGGGCATTTTAGGCTAAACAACTTGCAGCTCCAGAAAGATGAAAGCAAAGTCAAAGCTTCTATTTTATCAACTCTTATTTTATTCATTTATAAATACTGTTGTGTTTACAAGCATCATAGATGTGAATATTATTCCCAAACTTTCAAACACGTAATACTTATAATACTATATAACAACAACCAGTAAAACAAATCATTCATCTCAGGGTTTGAAAGGCCACTCAAAAGTTGCATAAAAATACATTCTCTCCCCATCTCGTAAGCTAGTCCTGCTTCTCCAAGGAGTTTATTTACAAAGAGCCATCATCAAACTCGCAGCCACAATAGGCGGGTTCACCCCAAGCAATAAAAATGAATTCACCCCAAGCAATTGCTTAGAAAAAAAAGCTTGTGTTCTCCAGTGGAGATCACGTCTGGCAAATGCTCTGGTTCAAATAGGGATCAGTTTTAAAAACTGCTTGCTTTGCACTCTGTCCCAAGCGCAGGGTGCAAGGTGTCCTATCGGTTACCTCCTCAGTGCACTGGTTATGTCAGGCATTAAGTGAGACCAAAAGAATTCATTCTCGAGAATTTGGTTTGCAGTTGCATCGTCATCATGAAATACTCACAGCTTTGGCTAGTCAGCAAGACTAAACTGTTGGTGGGTCCTCTACCCCAGTCAGAGTTCGGGGGGATAATCCAGTGCTAAGCAGACACTTCATCTAAAGTGGTTTGGCTTTGCAAGGTGCCACGCAGAGGAATTAAGCCTTCCGCACCCTTGGCATACTGTTCCTTAGGATAAAACGCAGTGAGTGTCCTGGTAGGAAAGGGCAAAACATCAGTGCAGGATGGATTTGTCAGATTGGGTTGAACCCTCTCCCTAAAACAGATACCAGGCTTCTTCACGCTGCCAGGAACCTGCCTCGTGAGAAGAACAGGATCTTTAGTCTGAAATCTCGTCCCTCATCCTGCTGGGATGTACGGCCCGAGACGCACGCGTTGGCACGCCAGCGCTGCGCCAACCACCAGCAGCCCCAGCAGGTGAGTATCTTCTTCTCTGCGTGGCACAGAAGGGACCGGACTCCTGTTTAGAGCTGAGAGAGCCCAAGTCTGAAGCGAGGAGTGGGTCACCAAGAGAAAAAACACCAAGAACTGCAGAAGTACTCACATAAAGAGTGCACCAAGTGGGAACAGCGTGCAGAAGAAGCATTGACCGGATCTCAAGACTTAAAGCTGTTAAATATAGCAGGATTAAAATAAAGTAATATAAAAAGGATGCCTGGCTTAGGCAGTGCTCTGCAGCAACCCTGATGCCATTACCCGCTTTGGTCTCTTCCTCCCCAAAGCACAGCAGCAGAGGAAGGGCCTCAGTGTACCAGGAGAAACGGCATCTCGTGCCGCGCGCAATTTTTTTCTAGAGCTGCCTGGGGAAAAGCCGGCAGCTCTAAGAAGAGCTAGAGAGGTGGAAACAGGCAGGATGGGGAGGGGAAAAAATGGAGAATTAGAAAAAAAAAAACACCCAAAGAAAAAAAGCCAAGGAAGAGGAAAATACACATGCCTTCTGAAGCAATAACCAGCAAAACCCTCCAAAAAGCCCAGGATTGACTGATAGAGATAAATTTTACCCTGTTGAGCAAGCTCAAGACTTATGCTCATGTTCAAGTATCTCATCTATCTCTCTCATAGTGGAAAGAGTCCCACCAGCCCGGCGGGAGCCACGAGCCCACAATCAGCAGAGGTGCCTGGGAACGTAGGTAGAACTTCTTCATGGCAACCTCCAAGTTCAGTGACTGAGACTGCAACTCTCAGCCAGACAGAGCAGGGAAATCAAAGGACAAAGGAAATGAAAGGACAAATATGGAAGGATGTAGATGGGAAAGTGGTTTGGATACAGCAAGAAGTCTCTGAAAGGGAAGTTATTGTTTGAAAGGAGTCTATTAAGGGGAAGCTCAACAGATCTGATGACAGGTTATTGCTGCTATCATCAAAATCACACAGCATGTAGAGGAGCCACTGTCTAAATGCCCATAGAGAGAACAATCTGAAACTGTTCTGAGTACGTATAACATTAAAGAGGTTTTTTTTTGAGGTTTCCTTCAAGGTCAAGGCTTATTGACAGATTAAAAGACTTTCATCATAGCAATACAGTTACCAGCACGCCCAAGGGTAGCTCCTTGTCCCTCTGACACCGATGCACCCACACCTTTCCAAGGCATGCGGGAGGACAAGCGATCACCGCTTCATGCTCCTCTGCCTCGAAACCCAACTTCATCAAGCTTCTTCACCAACAGATGGGTGGGTGGGACTGGACTCTGGCATTCCCTCTCTCTACAAACAAACCAGTGCTGCCTTTCACTTGGTCAGCCTCCTGCTGCAAATCAAAGCAAGGTGCCTGAAATACCTGACCAGACTCCTCTACAGGGCTCTGCCTTCATGAAGATAGCAGGAAAACGTCCCAGACATGTTAGGACGGGGAGGCTGGTTTCTGGTGTGGGCCCAGCTCCCTGCAAAGTGATTCACGCTCATATGCTTGTGAAAGCAGCAGAGGATCTCTAGGGGTTCAAGCTTGTCCTTCAGGAAGCTTGGCAAGTATCTGCGATACATCCTATCCTGAGGAGCAAGAGTCCAGATGCAATTAGCAGACGCTACCAACTGCTGAGACAGGAGCCCTGGAAGGATACAACGTGATACCAAATCACCCAGGCTGCGGAGGAAAGGCAGGGTGAGGGATCTGACGCCGAGAGTCAGCGCTGATGTTACTGAACAGGTTCGAAATCTTATATTAAATAAAAGACTTGGTCTACTGGGGCGAAAGGAGAAGAAGGTCTCTGTGCAAAGCAACTGTCGTCAGCCTGTTACAGAAATCAGCCCTGGTGGCTTTCACAGCATCACATTTTAACCAGAGTCCCACATCTTGGGTGGGTTGATGTGCACCCTCAGAGTCCCAGCCCATGTTCACATTTCCCACCTGTAAAGGGCTTGGATGTGCTGGATTAGTTCTTTAGGCATCACTTTTTAAAGTAGGAGCTACCTACTCCAGATCAGAGTCCAACACCAAATACTGGGCTTCTGGAGGAAGAAGTTTTGGCAGCTCAAACCCAGTCCTCGCGTTTCTCTTCTCCCTTGAATAAAATGTCCGAGATACCACAACATGCTTAAATTAAAAATAATAAAATGGCAGGGGTGTGTGTTGTGGGGGAAATAAGGGCAGAAAGGGAATGTACAGCAAAGGGCAGGGCAGGGCAGGTGTGACAGATTGATCCCATGGCTGAAACGCTTGCTGTACTTTTGACAGGAGGAAAAGAGGGGGGTAGGGCTTGGTGGCGGGGTTGGCAGCTCGTGTGGGGCACCCCTCTTCATCCTGCCTTTGCTCAGGCTTCCTACTTGGAGAGCTTGCTGATGACACGAATGAGGGCTCCGTTCTCGTCCTTCAGCCTTTGGTTGTCCGACTTCAGCTCTGTCAAAATCTGCAGAGAGACAAAGACAAGGTGGGATTACAACTCGGCACTGCCGGCTGGACAAGCCCTACGGCTGAGAGGGAACAGCAGGGACGTGGCATCCCTGCGGCCAGGGCGGCAGCTGGATGCTTGGCTTGTGTCCTTCTCACCACTGATGTGCCACAGCAGCGTGCAGAGCTTTCCTTACTGTAAACCCTCCACCCAGCGCACTTTTAATGTCGATAACCTCTCCGTAACATCTCCAGGATTTTTACAAACTGGGCATCAGGAGTGGAGGGGTCGAGACGGGACTCGAGCACAGAGAAGAGCCAGGGAGCCCCTGGAGCTGGGAAAGCCCATGGTCAGAAGCGATGCCATGGCCCCAGCACTAGGTCAGGACCAGGCTGGGAGGGCAGGAAACATTTCTGAGCTGTTTCATCCCAAACCTGTTCCCAGAGGCTATATAGGGCTCAGCAGAAAACTATAAAGCTATTTTTTTTCTCACTTGTTTGTTCCATGTTGCCAGAACTAGAGGGGAAAACAAAGGTTTGAAATTCTAACTCAGGACTGGACCAAACCTGGCTTGCAAAATTTCTTTAGAATAAAACCAAATCTCTTTGGGATCTCATAGATGTTTAAGGCAAATGCGCATGCCATGGCCAGAGGACTGGTAGAACATACTGACACTGGAGACACCTCCTTGGTGCTCAATTTTGAATGCTGGAGCTCAACCAAGGGTCACAACGCAGACAGAAGCCAGAGAGCTTTTAGTTGGAAATAGAGGAAGAAATAGCTTCGACAAGACCTTTCCAGCATTTCTCATTGGCAAAAAGCCCTCCCGACTCCCCTTGCTTCCCACGCTGCAGGCAGGTGACCTTCAGTGGACTGTCCCCAGCCGTTCAGGGACGGGAAGGAGACCCCGCGCTGCCCGTCTCGGGGTGTGACACAGAAGGTGTAACTCGCACCACGGGTGCCAGCAGCCCTGAGGGCGACCAGCCCCAGAGCCTGCTGGAAGAAGCCAGGGTGGAGCGGGGTCACACGCAGGCACAAATGGCACCGGTATGAGCTCAGTGGTGACTTCTCTCTGCCAAGGTGGATCTTAGAGGAATTCCCCCAAATTCAAAATCCCCACTAAACCTTCTCCTTCCTCCTAAGCTGGAGTTTCAGCTCTGACCACAACCTCCTGCCCGTCCCTCTCATCTGCAGCCCCTCCACAACCACCGCCACCGAGCGCAGGCAGCTCCTGGGGCAGATGCCAGCTCCCACCGCTCCTGCTGGAGCAATTCCCTCCTTTCACAGTCAGGCCAAGCCATGCCTGGCCCCAGCGTGCCCAACCCCGTCCCCGCTGGCGCTGGTGGTGGATGCTCCAGACGGGACGTTTTGCAAGAGAGAGAGGAGGGGAAAAGTGCAGCATGGCGGGATATTGGGGAAAGGGTAAAACTATGCGATGGGCTGGCTGGAGCTTCAGCTAGTGCTGCTTGAAAGTGTCTCACTGGACCCAGTGGTGGTGCGACAGGGACATCTCCATGACAGGGCTGTCACCAGAACAGCAGTCATGACTCCTTAGGCAATTTCTCACAGCCAAATAAGAGGCATCACCCATCACCAAAGTGCTCAGGAGCCCAGAGAAACGGGAAGAGCACTTGCTGTCTCACTCTGCATCCTCTGCTTCCTCCTGAGCTTCGTCTAACACCCACAACACAGCACGGTGCCTTCCAGTCCAGTGCACTGTGACAGTTCAACCACCTATTGGGATCTGCAGATGGACAGTCCCTGTCCTCTCTATGTCATGGCTTGGGGTGGCCTTGCAGTCTTGAATGTGTCCATCACTGCAATAAGGTAGTGATATGAATTTCTGCCACCTGCTTTGGTAGAGATAATCCATCACAGGTTCCCAGAAGCAACATCAGAGAGCAACCATCCCGGTTCTACAGCTTACTGGAAGCTCTGATGGTGTCTATGCCTTACACATATGCTTCAATGCAACTTTGGTGATTTATTCAAAAAGGAAGGAGCATAAGTACATGTAAAGCAAGTGCTTCTTGAAAAGTTTCCCAGCCGTAACCCCACTCCATCCGTTTCCAGTGAAGCTTTCTGAAAACTAAAAATCAACCTTATAAAATTTAATTCCTCCCAGGCCAAGGGCATTCCTCCCTTCGAAGCAAAGCAGCCTCAAGTCAGGTAAAATAAACTGCATGTGAAGCAGCCTGGTAATGCAGGGGCCTGAAAACTGAAGCTTCATAAATGTCTCATTGGAAACTGTAAGGAGGGATGCAGCACAGCCCGCAGGGGACGGTGAGGCTGACCACGATGCAGCGTCGGCATAAAGTGAGTTTTGGGCTAGAGGCTGGTCTGAACAGCGGTGCTGTGTGTTACCTGTGACACCGGAGAAGGTAGCACTTCAGAAATTACATGCATTTTGGAAAACGAGATTCTTTGAAAAGCACCACTGCTGCAAGAGCGTGGTAAATCTGTCAGAGTTTAAAACAGTGACATTACTGTATAGCTGTGATGTCTACAGACACTGGTGAGACAAGGTTTACAGGTACCAGCAACACCCTGTGTTAGACCTACTAAAAGAGCTGAAAAAAAAATCAGCGGAGCTTGCAGACACGCGGCTCTTCTCCAGCTTGGACACCAGCAGTGAATTGCAAACCTATAAGCAAGCTGGGAAGGCTCAGTCCACCCATGTCTCAGCCAGCCTGCACGAGAGACGAGGCACGTCAGAGCAGACGGGTGTTAGCAGGGGGAAAGCGATAACGCGAGTATTTCCTAGGAGAAGAAGGAAGACCGGTGACTTACAGTTCGTGAAACATCATTTCTCTGAGTCTGGAAATAGTTTTGCTCAATTTTCCCTCTCAGATCTCAAAGCATGTTGGGAAGGAGAATGACTTAAACTCACCGCTTGTGAGAAGGAATGAGTCAGTGACAGGTTCGAGAACAGAAGATTTAAACCAGAAAGATGGTGAGATCATTTAATCTGACCATCTGTGCAATTCAGGCCACATAACACTGAACACCCCCTCTCTCAGGCCCTGTGATACACGCGTGGTCTTGAACTGAGACTCCCAGAAAGGGGAAGCCACAATTCCCCTGGTTAATTTGTTTCTACTGTTAATCATCCTTGATATAATTTGTGTGCTAAGAATAGATTTTTTTTATACCTTAGTGCCACTTCCAGCCCATGAGAGCATACTGCTTCTTCCTTTTTTTAAGAAAATAGCTATGTCTCAAGGGATCTGAATACCCCTACTAACCTGCAAAAGACAGGTAGGGCCATAAGAAGGAAGCATTTACAGCTTTATTTTAGCACTGAACCAATGAAGTAGCAAGAAAGGATGTAATTTAACTGCGTGATGTGCGAGGGCAAGGCTTACGGAAGGCTTGTCCTCGATTTCAAACACTAATTGGTCTGCACTGAATTTAAAACAGAAGATGAAAGAAGAAAGCGCACCTGGTCCAGCTCCTATTGCTTCACCTGCCTTGTAGCCAGGCCGCAGGAGGCAGAGGGGATGCTGCAGCCTGTGAACTCAGACTCAAAAATCTGTTTAAAATGAGGGAAGGAGCTTGTCCTCTTTGCTCAAGTGACCAAGAAAACCTGCTGAGGACTGCCCAGTTGTAGGTTTTCTAAAAATCACCTTCCTGTCTAAAATGTGCACTTTTCATAACATCCCTAGAAATTTGTTACATTGTTCATTCTGACTTTGGATAATCTTATTTGCTGGGTGCCAGCTTCTCACTGAACTAAGTCCAATTAAAAAAAGAACTATTTTATGAGCAGACACATAGCATAAACCACCTATTTCGAGGTAAGGTAATGGGGAAGGGGCTGCTGGCTAACCCATTGGCACCGACAAGCCAGCCCAAAGCCATTTGCCGGTGTGAAGCCACAGGGAAGCAGCTGATCCATCGCTCCTCAGCAGCCATCTCGGCGCCATCCACCCAGCCCTACGCCCGCGCGTCAAGGCGGGGAGCACGTCCTCCTACGTCTCTCCCAGATGATGGGCTCCACATGGACAAGGCAGCCCCCCCGATGCGGCCGGTTAGTAAAACGGCGAGGTCAGCATCATCTGCCAAGCAGAGCGAAAGTCAGCAGGACCGAACAGAGCCTCCAGCGAAAGAAACCCTGCCTTCAGCCGGGCAGTAACACCATGCTTTTGGCTTTCGGAGGATCCTTTGCCACATGCTGCTTTTGAGCCACAAGCTTCGTCAGACACCCTCGAGAGCAACGAGGCGAGGGGGAACAGCCCGGGCAAGGGAGCGGAGACCTGCCTGGAAGAGTGGAAGAGGGAGGCGAGATGAGCCGAAGGGAAAGCAGCTACAGCTCCTCTGATTCGGAGGGCTTGGCAGGCAGAGAAAGTCTGGCTACGACCCGGGTCAGAGCCCTGTTTTCAGCCAGCAGTTGCTCATTCATCTGCCTCAGAGTGTGAATCTGTTTGAGCTGGTGGAGATTCTGCGGAGAGTGAGAGGAGTGGACAGAAAAAGACAGAGAAAACAGACCACGAAGACAAAAGGGCACAGAAACGTGAATTTAGTCCACAAGCAGTGGAAGAAAAAAAGAGAATAAAAGAAAAATTAGTAGCAGTGAGTGCTGGATGGGCAGCAGCTCAGATGCTGGGGGAAATGGGGAAGGCCTTACAACACACTGAGGATGTTTTGGGAACCATCCCTTTCTCCAGGGACCCCCAAAGCCTTTAGAAAGGTCAAATAAAGGGATTTCCCACCACAAAGCAGGACAGTCTCTTGCAGGTTATATTCTAGTTTACCCAGACAGCGAGCTCCAGTGGCACACAGCCCCTGGACTTAGGAACTACTGTGAGAACTATCACCATTGACTTACCACCCACGCAGGCTTTGAAAACACTGCCGGCAACTGAGAATTTCTTTAAAACTCCTTTTCTTCGTGGATCTCTAAAAGCTAAAGCAGTCTTGTGTAGCAAAGAGCAATCAGAGCTTCATGGGAGATTTTAAAGGCACAGACTGAAGCACCTGAAAGTGTCACTGTCCTACAGCAGACCACCGAGACACGTACCACGTCTACTTGCATCCCTCGTCCCTGCAGCACCTGAATGACGGCTCTTGGGTCTGCTCAGGCTTCAGTCCTGCCAAAAGGTCTGGGCTGTGTGTGGGTTTTTCATCCCTGCCCAGATTCAACTCTTCTCTGTCACGGGGCTCAATGTATCCCTGATCTCCAGAGGTGAAAAGTCAGAACCTTAAACCGCTGATTTTAACTAGAGGAGTTTGAATCACAGCATCTTACACAGGAGGCACATGCAAACATGGCATTCTTGGTTACAAAAGAAACAAAAAGCAGCAAAGGATGGTGTAGAAATCGAGCCCCAAAGCTGGGGCTAGCACAGGTATAGCGGCAACAGGGGGACACAGAACATAAAAGCAATGAGGAAGGCAAAACAGGAAAATGGTAAAAGCCATGCAGACGTCACCATTTCTACAAGGACAACATTTTTCCCAGTGATGCTAAAGCGAAACCATGTGCTGGACATTTATACCAAGCATGGGGGCCAGGACATGCTGAGGGATGCAGAGCTGCTTTCTGAGCAGCATCCCGTCCCTCCTTCCTCCCGACAGCTCGCCGTGCAGCAGGGCCACGTGAATGAGAAACTCCTTCATGGTGGAGGGAGCACAGACACTGGGCAGGGGGAAGGCAGGAAGGGAAACATCTGCGAGAAGAGTAGTTTTAAGTTCAAGTGGAAAAAATCCCAGCCCAGAACCAAAGCAGCTTCTGTCCTGCCTGCAAACCAACATGCTCCCCCCGGTGTCCTCCTACTTGTGAGCTTGCGATGGCAGGGAGGAGACAGAGGGAAGGGTCTACTGGGAGGGGGATTCCTTTCTGCCATTTAATTAGCAGAAAGCGCTCAAAGGGAGGTCACTGTCTGGCCTTAACCAGAAGCAGCATGGGCAAATCTACTGTGATATGAAGAACTTGCATGAACTTCCACCCAACTTGCATGACGTGGAGCGGGCTGCAGTTGGCAAGGAACCTGCTGCATCCCAGGACATTTTGTCCAAGAGCTCATTCCTGTGTAAAAGAGAAGTATTTCGTGTAGCCCCCATCCATCAGCTTGATTCTAGTTACTCAGAAGCACTACCTCTGCTCCCCGTTAAGGAATCAAGATACCTCGTCCAAAATCCTTGCAAAACCAACAGAAGCAAGGCAGGTGAGTGCAGGGAGTCAGCAAAGGATGGGGTTTGAGCCCCCTGAGGACATCAAACTGACAAAGCAGCTCCTGCTACTTGGACTACGCCAACGCAATTCTGACACTGGATAAATCAACAGGTCCTGAGACAGAGCTACAGTCAACAAACTGCAGGAGAACTTCAGGGACATCTCAGCAGTGAGATCCCCTCTCACCAAATCTCAGCCATTTATCCATCACTTAACGCATCTGAGCTGTGCCGGCTCCCCCTGTGCTCGGTGAGGACACAGACAGACATCACACATCTGTCCTGCGATACATCACACCCAGGAGCCGCCGGAGGATGGTTCATACTGGAAAAGCCATTTCTTTTGGTGGTGTCATGGATTATAAACGTCCTCTGTTTTATCACAGGGAACACAGCTGAGCATCTGGCTGGCAGAAAACATCAAACATATGTAAAACAGGGTGCCACGCTACGCAGGATAGAAAGGATTGTGATCGTTCTAGAGACCACCTTTATTTTTCCATACCAATATAGCACGAAACCTCAGCATGGCACGATCAGATGCAGCTCAGCCTCAGCACGCTGCCATGGACGATAAAAAGGATCACTTATGTAAAAAAGTGTGTGTGCTGCTGGTAGGACAGCCTTCTATTTATCCAAGAAACCTAGCAAAGGCTGGGAAGCTGGGACTGAAGCCAAGGGTGAAGACCAGAATCTGGACGATACCGCTGTGATTGCTTATCACTCTGCTTGATACTTGGCTTACCGAAAGCAGGTTTCTCAGTTCGCTGTACCTGTCTTCAGTGAAAGGATTTTGTGCCTGCAACACTAGGGGAAATAAAAATGCCCCAAGCATGCACACTGTACAAAGCCAGGAGGTGCAGTGCTGCCACAGAATAAAGACGCTTCTGTGACCTTCAAGAAAAATTGCTGTGTGAAGTTGGGACCTCAGGCACTTGGCATTGAATTCAGTTCAGTGCAAATGCTAATTGACTTTCTCCTTCCTCAGCCAAGTTGCTGTATCTCCAGTTAAATTCTGCAGTCACTTAGGAAAATGCTGCACCGCTCTGTCACCTGCACAACAGCAGGTCTGCAGGAGCAGCTCTGGCACCAAAGACTTCTTTGAGATCACTGAGTTTGTCCTGCTCCTCTCCATTTCTTGATTGCTTCGTTAGCAGTGGTTAAACTCATGAAAGGCACAAAGCTCGTTACCTCAAGCGTACCCTGAAGTACAAAGTGTTTCTGTCACAGAAACCGAGGACCTTCCCGTGACCACTGCTGTGCCTCCTCTTCCTAAGAGGTCAGCTGCAAGAAGAGGAAAGCCCTGGCCAGGGCGTCTGATGCACAGAACTGGACACAGACACCCAAGGATCAAAAGCTAGATGTGAGCCATGCTGGACTGGTTCAATTCAAAGACCAATGGGAAGAATCCCCAAACCCACAGTATTACTTGAGACCTAATAACCTGGCATGTCTGATTGTTTCCCCTTACTGCTCTCCATGTTAAAGGAAACCGGTGGGTTTGCTTAAGTCGCTTATTCCTTCTGATTCTGCTCGACAGCTACTCAGCTAGCGC